AAAGTAGTAAATGAATCCTACAGATGAACTTAAAAGAGAGGCCCAGGTAGAAGCTGTATAAGACTTAGAAACTGAGACACCTGGGACAGAAAAAAAAAAAAAATCTGTTACCCTTTCCAAGGGATTTCAGCTGTGACCAAGGGATGGGGTGAGGGGATCTTGTTTGCTACTGAAAAGCAAGGATTAATGACAATATGTTTCAGTAATTTGCTTTCCCTCAAGACTGTGCTATGTACTGAAAGCCAAAAGACACTGAGCTCGGAAAGATAACATTTCTCTCTCACATCCACCTTCACTTTTCTCCTGTGCTGTATAGTCACTATGGTCACTTTCTGAGGAATGGTTGACTTTTTTTCCCCCGCAGTATTTATCACCATTTAAAATTAAGTTAATTGTAGGTAATTTTCATTATTTTAATAATTAATTATAGCACTAAACTGATAAATACAGCTAATCTTCTAGCTTAGCACAGTTTAAAAGTGGATGAGAGGAGCAATGAGAAGGAGCAAGTGATCAAATTCCAACCAGCATCTTCATTTTAAAATGCTAAGTAGAAACACCCATGACTGTCTTGAGGCAAAAAGGATGGGTCAAGACTATGTATGATGTGGTAATTTTGGTAGAATTTAGGCTGGTAAGCTGCAAGAGCCATCCCAATTCTCAAATTGCAGCCTCTCCTCCAGCCTAATTAAGGCTTGTCATATAATGGCTACCATTTGCTGTGCTTAAAGCAGATATTCAGAAATACAATACGAAATACAGGACAACTGGAAGAATGAACATCTCTCTGTACAGCTGGGGAACACAAAATGTTTTGGTTCTTTGAAGCAGTTCTCCTTGAGGCCATATGTCCTGACAGGTTCACTGCAATCAGGTGACTACAAATACCTGGAATAATCACTTCTGTTTTCCTGTTTTCTCTGACACCACCAGCCCTCCCACTGCCTGTTCTTTGAGCCAATTCTCTCTTCAGTGTGGCATGGGGTTTTCATGTTGCAGCCCCTCCACAGCCATGAGGCTGCCAGGCCCTTCCTGCTGGCCAAACCTGGTCACCTCCAACAGCTCCATCCATTCCCCCACCCAACAATTTACTCACCCACAGTTACTTGGGGAGATCATGAAACACATACACTGGCACTCCATCTCCATAGGTAACAATCTAAAGATACATGCTTTATTTCCCCATAAGGAAAAGCCTCAGAGAAGTACACCATAATTATCTTAAAAGAGTTAGTACAATAGATGTCTATATTCACAAAGCAAAGCTATTGTCAGAAGCACAAATCTGCGTACAGCAGCAACGTGCTGATCCTCAAAGATGTGTGACTCCTGCTAATACTGTAAATTATTCATACATAGTGTTTGGACATAGTGCTGGATTCAGATTGTGAACTATATGCCACCTAATGTTCCCTTCTACAGCTCAAAACATCCCCCTATTCACTATCTAAATTTTTCTTATGCCACAACAAAAAGAAATTAGGCTTTTCTACACCTATATAGTTCAGCAAAAGGCCAAAATAAATGCCTCTTCCTTCACAGCTTTTAGATCAGCTGTAGATTCTTTTCTTTTTGACATCTCTGCTTAGGGAAATAGCTATTGTAAATGCTGTCTCCAAGAAAGCCAAGTCAAGTCAGACTTACCAAAAGACTACCACAGAGATTTCTCAAAAGTGATTGAAAAATAAAAACTGAAGCACAATCAAAAGCAATACAAAGGCCAAGCCCCAGTCCTGAAGTAAAACAATAAACGGATACAAGCAGTGCGGCAAGGCAGAAACAAAAAAAAACCAAAAAAAACAGGATTAAGTAAAAAGATAAAGGAACAGTAATGTCATATGAAGATTCAGTTTGAAGTATTATGAGGACTATACCCATAGGAGCAAACAGTGAGGTCCAAATGGAGCAGACCTCCAGAGCAAACCACTGAATGCCAAGGACCCAATGTCCAACATTAGATTCCTTTTAGAGGATTTTAATGGCTATTTGATGTAAGCTGTTTCCAAGGACTGTATGCTCAGCAGCAGATGGAGCATATCAGATGCAACTCTGAGGAACATCTTCCAGTTCAACTGTGTTTGAAAAGAATCCAGACTCTGGAGATCCAAACACCTGGAATAGCAAAAGTGGTGCCTCCAAAGCACTAGCCTAAGCCAGACTAAATGGGTGATGCAGACATATGCTAAAAGTCAGAGAGAGCAGGAGCAATACTAGCTCTCTGGACAGGACTAGGCTAAGGAACTAAATTAACAGTTTGGCCATGGAAGCAAAGTATAAACAACATACTTTGTTGAGAGGAAGAACCAAAATTGTGCATGCTGATATTAAGATATGGTTAAGCCTGCTTTTTATAATCTAATTTAGGTTTAGGTAACAGTTTAATACATTGAGACATTCAAGAAGTAATATGATGGTAAAAAAAGACTTCTTCATGCAGAGAAGTGCAGTATAGTACAGAATTTAGTGCCTGTTTTCACTCTGTTACAAAGTAAACTGGTAATTGGTACATTTTTGTTTTTAAAAAAGGCTTTTTAGTCACTGGTTTACATGTTCTGAATGGAACAGTGAAGTTCAGTATGATAAAATCTACACACAGTAAATTGGATTAAGCTACTAATTACCAGTTTCTTAAGCTATACCTGACACATTGAATCTATGACACTATGAGGAAAATGATAAGTTCTTTGGAAACAAAAATTTATTTCTAGATTTCTTCCTTTTGCTAACAGTGAAAACCAAGGACTAGAGGGATTTCACCTGTAACACTATTAGGAAAAAAGCTTAGACCTAATTACTAAACAGGAAATTGTCCTTGCTCATTTTGGTTAGATTATTGTATCCAGTGAATTAGTGTTCATGAGTCTAAGACTATACAAACTAGTGCTTATGCAGCAAAGGAAACACGGCAAGATTCGTGAACAGATTGTGTTCTTGAGGGTTGTCATGAGGAATTGGTAACACAATTACTGGAGCCCTTGCAAGACCAAGACCAAGCTGAATCCAGTAAAACATCTAGCAAAATGGCTAAGTAAGCATTTTACAGGCTCCATTCAGTGCTGATATGGCTGTAGGCTGTCATATGGAATCTAAACTCTTCTCCATCTTCTATTCATTGGTGTGTCCTGAGCAGATGGAATTTGACAGTGATAACAGTGCTTTCTCTTAGCCAACTTTCTCAAAATCACTTCCTCCATCTTTATGAAAAATATGGTAATTTGCTCATGTTTCCATGGAGGAAACTAAATATTTAAATGCAAGGCAGTGCAAACAAGCAAGTAAAAAAAGGGCAATAGCACTGACCACTCAGTTCTACGCCTGCCCACATGAATCCCCAGTCCTCTGCATTAGAGCAGAGACTGAAGTGATCCAGAATGTGCTACCTAGTACTCTTTTTAACCACAGCAACTGAACTATCACTATCCACACTGAATTTTTACCATGGCTGTTTAAGATTATTTTCTCTTTTTTTGATATATAATGGCCCACTTACCTTGCATCTCCTTATACTTATTAGGAAAGTATTCCACATTTATCCTCTGCTTTTCCATTGAGTCTACTACATGGACAATCCAACAGCTGAATTATGTATGGCACTGCTGTCAGTCTCAGAGATACAAATGTTTTTCTCCTACAGCCAACAACCTGAAGCCATTTAGCACCAGGCTTATGCAACAATAAGGAGAAGTAGAACCATACCTCTACCTCCCAAACACTCCTACTAGCAATCTTTATTTTTCCTTGCAAGCTTCCAGATGGACAGGTCTGTCTAAATTTCATTTTAAAAATCAGTATACTTTCATATCACATTGCATAAGGCCAGTGGCATTAAAATTAACCTCCATCTGAAGACAAAAATCTTTGGAAGACAAAGCATCTCTTTTTTAAAAGCCATAAATATTTGCAGGAGAGCTATATTTATGCAAACACAGCTACCACAGGCAGTTGGACTTGGCAGTTCATGCATAGGTGGATTAAAAAGAAAGGGCAGGGAATGGGTCAGATGCAGAGGAAGAGCTGGTCACTTCATTTATTTACCTAATCTGCTTGGCTATTGCTGGCCAAGTTTGCTCTTGGAACAATGAGAAAGGCCAATTAATTTATCAATCTGTACTCCTCTCTGCCATAACATATTTTCCCCTTGCCAACAAAAAACGTGTCCATTATCAGCCAGGTCCCTGTCCTCCCAGGCAGCTCGTGCAGCTGTATAATTACACTTCTTCCCTTGACAACTTGCATGATTGTTTTCCTAACAGTATATTACTTCGTTAGTACTTTCCAATATACGTTATTTTTAAACTGTCACTTTTGCCCAACTCATCCCAATTCGCACTCGTCTGTTTATCATAACAATCATTAATAACTGTCACTCCACGCCATCAATTTAACGAACTCACTCCCTCATTAGCATGTTCTAGCATTTGTTCCGTAGAAAGGCTGATTATTTTCTACAACAGGCCAAGCCAATTACTTTAGTGAAATGGAATCACATTAATCAAAACTTAACAAGGTGGCAAATTTAAAGATATCAGATTGCAAAAGACAGCATAACTAATATGTCAATGTCAGAGATACTACGTAGGTATGCAGCAGCTGTACTAAATATATCTCTTCACGAAGGCCACATGAATTTTGACATTTCATATGATCTGACAACTACCAAAGTGATATTAGAAGGCTGGAGGCTGGGCTGAGCTGCTCCCAGTGGCTTCTGCACATTCTGGCAAGGGCAGCAAAGAAATGCAAAGAGTGAGGAGAAAAAGGAAATGGTGACTACATATGTCCACAATGCCTGGTAGATGGCACTTTATTATGTCCCTCTATGCCAAGATATTTTCTTTTGCACTTTAAATGATGCTGCTCATCAATTGTACCCTGACAGCTGCATCAGAACCAGCTGTAAACATGCAACATCCAGCAGTGTGAAAATATGCTGACACAACAAACACATATTAGTTTTTACCTTTTGGTCTACATTGCAGAGAGGATTCTTCCCACAGCACCTTTTTCCTTTTAATGAGTAAGTTCACACTTTTATTTTCCCTGTCACTTTTAAAGAAGGTTTAAAGTCAAAAAGCCTGCATCCCAAATCTTCACACAATCCAACAGTTCAACCATTTCTAAATATGCTTTATTTATGCAGCAGCAGAAGGTAAGCACTCACTGTTAGTCCTTACCAGTGGGCAGGAAATTACAGCTTTGTTAAACACATCTCAATGCTCTTTGGTTTTCCATACAGAAAGAAGCAAATGCTCATGGCTCATTTAAAAAAAAAAATTAAAGTGAGGAAAAATATCCCTAGGCTTACAACTTCTGTTGTATAATATTATTAAGCTTGGTTATATCATACAGTTCAAGAAATTGCACAGTGATTCATTTTTTACAACTTAAATAGCTATTTGCTTCAGTTGCCAGGTTGAACATGATAAATGTATATGATAAAAAAGAACAAAGAGAAGGGCCAGTTCTTATAAACCTACAACATTAGTCAAAGTATTAACCCATTCCTTTCTAACTGTTGGCATTTTAGTATTCATCATGCACAAGTCTGCTCACTTCAACCTGCATTCCGCTATGTATTTGGATTTGGAAAAATAAATTATTATACAAAGAATTGCTCATTTTTGTTAACCTCCAAACTGCCAGTACTTTTAAGATGCAATGTTAAGCCATCACCAAATCTAAAATCAGAGGAAAACTAGGAAAAAACAGAACTCAAAGATCACCTCACGCATCCCATACTTGTTGATACAATCAAGTGTATGTAGTTTTTAGTCAAAATTTAAAAAAATTAAAAACACTTGTGAAAGTGTGCACTCATTTGCCCATTTTCATGTTTAACAGTACTTCTTGTGAGAAAATTTCTCCTTACATTCAGCCTCTATTCCTTCTGTGAGCATTATTTGTTGTTCTTCCTCTAATGACTATGCAGAACAGTTGGTTACTAAGAAAAGGCAGTAGCCATTTTTCACATATTTGCAGGCTTATACACTTCCTCCTCCCAACAGCTATCTTAATTTGAATTTTTTCCAATTTGCTTTTAGCAGTCAAAAATGCCATTTTAATTTTTAAGATAATACTGCAATGTAGATACCTAAGTAATTAGAATTTTTGCCAAGTTAAATTAACTCACTAGCACAGTTAGCCTGCTTAGAAACACTTGTCCCATATGATATCAACTAGTATCGTTTGGGTTCATTATTTCTAATTAAATTCAAATGACATGTTAATAGATATTAAACCTTTATGTGAGAGATGTCATAACCCAAGATTTAAACGTAAGATTAATTTATCTAGAAACACCAGTTATTAAAATAAACACAAGCATTTCTGGAAAAAAAAAAATAAAAGAGGAACAGGAACAAGATTTTTTACATTTGAGCACACAAGTGTGGGAGACAGGAAGTTCAGATTGTTTTGAGGGACACTGGTGATACAACTAAAAGTGACACTCTCTCTGCAAATGATGAAATGCTATGCTGTTTTAACTGGCATTTTTATGATTACAGGAAAGTGAATAAGATCAATAGAAAAGAGAAACTAAAACACCATCTCGTCTAACGTTTGAGAAGACATCAGCAGGTTTATACTCCTCACTTTGAATTTGCTTGATCCAAGGCAAGAACTAAGCCTCCACATCACTCAACTAACTAACTTGTCTTTCAGTAGTTTCGACAGACACCCTGTAGCACACAGACAGACAACATGAGGTTCCCCAAAACACTGACTGCAGTGAAACAACTGCAGCTGAAGCAGACCCGAGGCCAGGCTCAGAGAGCTCTGCTCCTCCCCGTCACTGACATTCCACTCCTCTGGGCACCAAGGCTCTAACAGGGAGCGTTTCCACTTCCACCCCCACCCAACCACCGGCCTGCTAAAAGAAATATTCCATTTTCCTCGCAGCAATAGCTATCACCATGATAATAACTAAATGTGCATTTCCACCTTTTCTCCGCTATTCAGCACAGAACTTTTTAAGATATTACTTTAAGGTTTAAAATGCATGTTAAAACAACAGCCTACATTAAAATAATGGATTAATGTATCAAATTATTACCACTAACTGCTACTTTTCAACTGTATTTTATTAATTTAGTTATTACTTAGAAGACTCCTTCCAAAGCAATATATTCATATCTCTTTCCTTTTGCTATCTTATTCTTTCATATCAATTAATTTCCAAAGATGACAACTTGAGCAAGTCTTTGTAACGGCTTTCACTTTGTATGAATAAATTATGCATAACAATATAGCTCTGTTCACAACCATTCAAGGCAGAATATATTCTCATCTGATGTATAACAATTTGGAATTGACCTGCTAAATATAAAAGTAAATAACAAAGTTCTCTACCACAAATTATGCTAAAAGCTCCATTGTCATCTATTCCAGTGCATCACTTAGTTAGAAATGCAGAGATGCTTGTCTTTTTTAAACCTTACACTATGAACCCTGGCATCTTTGAACTGCTTCCAGGAAGGATGTGGTGTACATATTAAATGAGCATCATGAGTAGGAACATTAAAGCAATTGAAATGAAATTAAATTTCTGGATTTGGAATGATCCATTTCTTTCAAGATACATGTAAAAATTTAGCTGCTGCCTTTTCAGCGTGTGCTGCATGTTCTGTCTAAGATTAATCCCACAGGAGGTTTTTTTATTTCCTACTCTGCCTATCTTTCATCTTCACCCCAGACTAAGCAGATGGATGTGAATTCAAAGTTTTCTGATCTTTAGCACAAGTTATGGAGGGTTATCTTTGGCTGTATATCTTTCTGCTGGCAGCACTCCCTTGGTGATGAAGGATTAACCACCACAGCTGTCTCTTCCCAGAATGATGCAGTGCAGCGCTCCTCAACACGACAGCATCACTTAATCTTAATGTCCGCTCTTCCAGCGCAGCCGCGCAGGACAAAGCCAATCAACATCAGATGCCACCAAGATGGACCTACTGCTTGGCCCTGGAGTCTTTCACCCTCACACACCTATTAATCAACATCATCCAGACCAATCCCAGTGTTCACTTCTTTCAAACCACAGTTAAACTAAGCTAGGTTTTATATTAACAGACTGAGAGATATAGAAATCTACCCACAGATAAAGCATGAATAGGCAGAAATGTAGAGCAAATTTAAATCAAGTTTTAAACACCCTTATTTACAAAACAAAGGTGTTTATTTTGTTTTAAAGCATAACTACCAGAATTCCTATTTTTAACATCTTGAAATTCACTAATAAGAAAAGCTGCCTATTATCTTTCATGTCTCCAAAGACTTAAGGCATAACTACAACATCTTGAGCTAGATGTTTTTATGGGAAATTGTTCTATCCCAAAATACAGAACGCACATTACCAGAACTTCTTTAGTCTTCTGCAGACACATATTATCTTGCCAAGATTTATTTTCTCTACTTTAACCTATTGCATGAGACTGTTTAGTAGTTTCCCCTCTTCTATCTGCTCCCCCCAGTTCCAGAGCAATTATAACATAGCTCCTTCCTTTATCCCCCCTCCTCTTTTTAAAGCTAGCAAGTTCTCAACAGCAAATGCAATAAAACAGTAAATTATTGCTAGAGTTTACTAAACAAATGCAACCTAGTTAAATTTAGAAAAATCTTCACTTTTGCTTACATTTGCAATTTTACTGCTGAACTACTGGTATTTCTTACTTATGCAACATTAAAATGTATAAGAAATCCTCTTGTGTGCTATATGCAGCAACTACTCTTGATTTATAATGCCCAATTTAGAAAAAAAACCCCACAACTAAACCTGATTTAAATCACAGATTACTCTGTAAAACACAAGCAAGGAACTATTCCAAATCCTAAATGTAATTTAAACATATTTATATTTTACAGTGATATATTTTCCCCCATTCCTTGTCTTACTACTGTAAACTTTCTGTAATTATATAAGCAATTTCCCTGAGGTCACAACATTGATCACAGTTATATATTGCTCAAGCATTACAAAACATAACTTGTAATAAAATATTGCTGGACATCACTACATAATTTCACACAAAGAAATGCACAACTGAAGTTCAAGAGCGCTGAATTTGGCAATGAGGTGTTTTCAATAGATTATTCATTTCCTCCTCATTCCACCATTAAAAGACTATTGTTGAAATATTACCAAAAACATTAAGTTCCCACATGTAGAAATGTGTAAGAGGGCAGAATAAGGGAGAAGAGCATAGGGAACAGTTTACATGGGAAGCTAAGGCATATGATCCCTCTGCGTTATTCCTTTCCTTCATTGCAACGCCACCCCACAAAGTGTCACAGTGCTATAATACACTGCAAGAACTCACAGTAGAAAAACCCCACAGGAGTGCAACTCAATTTTTAGTGTTTCTGGTTGAGCGAGAGTTCTCACACACTTAATGAGAGGAGAGTTCACAGCTCTCAATGCACTATGCAAATAGATGTTATTTAGGAGCAGTTAGTGTTGGCATGTTGCACAGCTGAGCTGACGCACCAGTCACTGAACACTAGTTAACAAATGCAAGGCTCCCCTTCGGGAAGTCGCTTATAAAAAAAAAGGAAATGAAGAATTGGAAGATAAAGAGATGAATATTTTAGCTCACTGTGCAAAAGTAGTGGCAATAAAAGGCTGAAGACCAGTCATTCACCATATATATTATACAAACACAGCAAAGAAGCTGCAAGCATTGGCTTTGATACTGATCTTGTATAGGTTTGAGTAGGTTGGGGTCATTACCTATATAGAGACTTCTCAGAGAGCATTCAGTCATCCAAACTGATTAGCAACACACACTTTCTCGACTAACTTCTCTGTTTCAAAATTATAAAATACGATAGACCTGCCAGCCAAAACAGCCATATGGCTACAACCAAACCAACTTGTTGATAGGTGCAAAAAACCCCAGGGGAGAGTCTGTGCAGTAAGCCACTGTGGAGACTGACTGAATTCCCCAAGGGGCAGGGTGGGCCTGCAGGCCCTCCCCAAGGTCAGAGTACGAGCTGGACATCAGGGGTGTTCACTCAAATGAAATAAAGACCGAGTGACTGTTTCCAACATACCACGTGCAGTCTTAGGCTACCGTTATGTCTCTCAGTTCTGGGAGGCAAATTAGGCTAATTCCACTTCCCCAAAAGGATCACTGAAAACAGTACTCCAAAAAAGGCACACAGATGACAAACATGCACGAGTTTCAAACTAAGCAGCTGGGAACTCCCATTAGCTAAGAGGAATGTAGGAACACCAAATTGTGAGAGTCAGATCCCACCTTCAAATAACAAAGGACAAATCCTTGCAAATCTCAGAGTATTTGAAAATACTTACTTTTCCAAAAAGTTATCTATAAAAAAAAAGTGGAATGCTAATAGGATATATTAAAGAATATGACTTCCACCTTACAGAAAGTTTCCAAAGACTGTATTTAAGGATGGGTCAGTGCTAAACTGATGAACGTCATTAGCTAGCAAGGCTCCCCAAGGTTCACAAGAGTTCATGCAGAAGTATCTGCTCCTTCCTTCCAATACTGCAGTCACTGATTTTTGGATACTATGCTGACTTTGTCTAATATCCTGCAGTACCTAAGTACCTCTAGAATAAAATAGTAATATTCCATTGACTGCCATGCCATGAATGAGCACTGACCCAAAAACATTGTCTTTCTTTCAAATCACAGGAGATCTTCTGCTAGAGTTCATGAAGGAAACAGGATCATCTGTCAATGAAACATGGAAAAATTAATCAGCATTTGAGAGTTTTCAAAAGCAGTTTTCTTCTGAACAATTTAATAATACAAGATCTTTTTTTTTCTCCACAGTCTTCTTGAAAGATTCTATTGACTCAACACAAAACTACTGCACAGAAAACCGACTGATCTCTCCTAAAGCCATGTCTCAAAACCAACAGTAACAAATTAAGTTGGCAGACTTAAGCTGTCTCTACATATGCAATCCCAAACCCTCTAAGTTTTTCTTCCTCTCTTTCCCCAAAGTTTTACATATCTATTATTGCCAGCAAAGATGACAATATGGCAGCAACAAGGCAGTAGCTTTTTTTGATTGTCTCTCAACACAAAAGTAAACACATTTCAAACACTAAATAGAAATGCCTGAAGCCATCCTGCTTTGCAGATCCAGATCTCTTTTTAGGTAAAGTAGGTTATACCTTTCAAGCTCTTCAATGGTCATGAGCGCAGTATAATGTCTTTCCAGATATTCTTTTCTCATAAATTTAGTATCTAAATTTCAAGTTCTGAAGCCAAAGATCTATTTACAGACATACATTACACACTTAAAGAGGACTTCTGAAAAATGAAATGAATATAAAAGAAAGAAAAGGACCTCAGGGAAAAAAGTGGACTAAAACATTATAAATCAATCATAAAAATAAATACCAAATAGCAGATAAACCATAACAATATAAAGGTCTGACAAAATTATCTGGGCAAAAACGAAAAACCTTTTTTCTTTTTAGAGACAAATTTTAAATCATTATCTGTTACTTTTATCCACAAACAGCAACTGGTTAGAAGCATACAGTTAAACAGGACCTCAGCTATTGAAAACAAGAATTTGCTGAGCATTTTAGGAGGCCACACCACAATCAAAATCTCACTTTCTTTCATGAAAACCATTAAGTATATTTTTCATGCTTAAGAGAACAAAATTGTCACTTGTGAAACCTTGTGCTTCCCTGGCACAATAGTCTCTCTTGCAGGTGGTTGAAAGTCTTCTTTTTCTGAAGGACTGAAATTGGGTATATGGACAGTTTATAGATCCACTTGCTCCCATAATTTGAGGAAGAGCCCATGAAAGCTTATTTTTCA